AAATTTTTGGGAATAATTCATATATAGGGCAAAAATCACGTGCTCACAATACTCAAGTCTCACTTTCTTTCACAGATCGGAATTCATTAACGGACCCCAAATAGAATAGGTTGTGCCTTTTATATCATATTGTGTCACTATCAATGACATCCTCATTATATTTAAATAAGAATAGGCATGCCAGTATTACACTTAAAACCTTACCATCACGATATCACTAGTAATATCAAATCACTTCAAAAGGCACTAAGCTTGAAACCTTATAAGCACCTTCCTCAAAATGTCTTTCGCACCAAGCCTAACAGTCTAGATGTGTTTAAGTTATTGTTACCTTACACTTCTTACTTCTACGTTTAAATCTTTTCTTCTCCAAATCAAACTCATAACATGGAGTTGTATCCGCAACTTCAAATATTGAATAAGTCACTTTCAGAAAAATTAAATATTAAATCCTTAAACCACTTTACAATTCATACAGATTATCAACATCCAAAAATTTGACTAAATCTCAAACTTTTTTTAAAAAAGAATTTTAGTACACATTCCTTCGAAAATAGAATAACCCCAAAATTTAAAACAACTCTCAACTATCAAACGCATATAACATTTCATGTACTAAAAGCGACTCTAAATCGCCCATATATTATTATAAACTTCCAAATAAACTGCGTCGTCCTGCATAAAAGGACACACATGACCTAGCCATTTGCTAAAGGGACATTCTAAGAATAAACTCGATTCAGCTTGACGCACGAATGAGGAATAAAAGAAGGAAAAACATCCTAAATGCTTAGTAGCCTCAAGATCATAAGTATAAGCGCCTACATACTCATGAACAAGACTCTACTAAACACTGCTCCATGACCCAGACTTAAAGCCTAAGCTCTGATACCAACTTTTTCACGTCACAAACTATCCCCTAGACGTGACTGGCACCCAGCTAACATCACATGCGCCAGGCGAACCATATTTTCTTACCTTATCCATTAATTTGCAGTATTTGATTAATCAAATGAGTATTCAAATAATCTGACAATTAATTACGAACAATTAATATCTTGAAATATTATACTAAAACTCTAGCCCATATCCCACACTAGACCATGGAGCATCTAAGAGAATTACAAAAGACATCATATAAATAAATATAAAGACTCTTTTGGCAGCCTCCACGAACAATGTGGCGGCTCACCTCAATAACTAAATCAACTATAGCGAATTCATCAGCTACTAGCTCCATCTTCACTAATAGTATCTGCATCGACATGCAGGTAAGGAGTGAGTTATACGTAAATATAACCCAGTAAGATCCTCGACCCGCCACACTGAATACTTCTGGAACAAATGTTAGAAAATACAAACACACAAAGAGCACGGAAATAATATGCACGGAAATTTTGCACCATATAATTACTTTATAAGGTCCAAACAATTATTCAACATCATACTAAATATATCTCAACACAATCTACACTAAGGACTTATCATTAACGGCAGTGCAGGAAATTAACCAAACACCCCAACGAGTCCACAACAGCATACACAATGCTCCAAATCTACCACAGCGACATACACAATGTCTCATATATATCACGTCGGCATACACAATGCCCTAAATATATAGCGGCAGCATACACAATGCCCCAAATCTATTACGATGGCATACACAGTGCCCCAAATCTATCACGGTGGCATACACAATGCCCCAAATCTATTACGATGGCATACACAGTGCCCCAAATCTATCACGGTGGCATACACAATGCCCCAAATATATAGCGACGGCATACACAATGCCCCAAATATATTACGACAGTGAAAAAATAATTTCTAATGCCCCAACGCCATAGCACAAGGCTACGTCACATCACACTACACTACAAATCACTTATTAAATAATTTTAGTTTTTTTTAAATAATATATATTTGCGGCTAGTCAAAGACCACCAATTCTGCCAAGTGCACGCTCGTTCCAACACATGGACCAAGCAAAAAAAATATACTTTCAAAATGGATCTTAGAAAAGCAAGCACCCAAAGCTTAAAGTCTCACTTACCTCGCTAACGGATAGTGTTCAAACCTCGCAACGTTTAGAACGCCAACCAAACAACCTCCAATAGCCTCAATTTGATTAGTATTTTAGCCTCATTCCTTCACAAAAGATTCTCCACAAAAGCTCATTCAAAATCAGTGCTAATAGTGAATACTCGTTTGTGCCGTCAACCTGCACTATTTGGTTTCTTCTTATATTTTTTTCCTTCTCCTAATTAGAAACTTAAGTTTCAACTATATACCCTAGACAAATCTCACCAGATCAACTAGTAAATTGTGGGCTTGGCCCACTTTATTATTTATAATTAACTAATCAAAATTACGTATTTCAAATTCTTAATTTATAATGTGCAATTAGTCCACTAGCCACTTATTTAATACACTGTATCATATATTATAATAAATTTTTCTCTACTAGCTTAGGCCCAACCCTTTTTTTTTTGGAGAAAATCTCACTTTATACCTATTAATTTCAAACTATTTACTCTACAATGCCCAAGTCCAAACTATTTACTACTCCTATTCATGCGCCCCAAACTATTTATCCGTCTTTATTATGTTCCTCTTCTTCTTATTCCTCATTTTACCTTCCTTCAAATTTTAAAGTTCACAACTGTATTTGTTTTTGCTTCGGCAGTCACTCTTCTAGGTATATTGGCGAAGTCTTAGGTACCAAAAAAAAATAAGAACTCACAAGAAGAAAAAAAGTTGAGCAAGAAACAATGTTTTTTGGAAGCTTTCATAAAACTAACACTATTTTGCTAACCACTTTTAAGCCATTTTTCTTAATTTAACGCGGTGACGTTTTGAAACTTACACATTTCCTCATAGGAAGAACATATCAATTTTTAAAACTCCATATGGATGAGTTCAAAATGCCAGATCTGATTTTTTATAGTGTTTTACTGTTGAAATTCGTTAGTTATTGTTCTTTGATGTGTAGATTGTACCTTTGATGCTGGTTTTTGGAGATTTATTGTACAAAAATTTAAATCCACCATTGAAGGACCTTGAAGCTTGAAACTCATAACTTGATTTGTTTGAGTTTTTAATTGTTTTGATCTGATCCTGTGTGAGTTTGTTTGGAAAGTTGATTGGAGGTTGTAGCTAAAGTTTTAGTCAATTTGGTATTGTAGTAGATTTTAGAAATTTGGGTTGAAATATAGTTGAACCAGAGAAGAAGACGAATTTGTATTGTATACTCAAATAGTATACAAATATATTATTTTAGTATACAATTCATTTCAACTATATACCCTATTAGTATAGCTATATATTATATTGGTATCATATGCTAGTTGAATCATTTTTTGGTTGTATTAGCTGCATTTAATTGGTACAATATTTGATTTTCTTTTAATAATAGTAATATAGTATAATATCTTGAAATGCCTTATTATATTAATATGTGATACACTATTTTTTTCTCTCTTTATGCATGTGTGTTATGTAATAGTAGTATAATCATATAGTTGCCGAGAATTAACTAGTAAAATTGTATGCCATGTTAGTATAGTTATATGTCATATTTGTATCATAATCATATCGTAATTTGAACATTGTTTTGGTTGTTTTAGCTGCATTTTAAGTGAATTATATTATGAAATTATTTATATGAACATGAGTTGCAGTGCTGGAATTTTTGTGTGCCGATGGACATAAATTATATGTATTATGTAATAATTTTTATAGTTATAGGCAATTGTTGGAACGACCTTATACAACTATATACCTTCTTAATATACGAAATGAGCAAGTTGTTTTACGAATATTTAGCTTGCAATACGAGCATATAATTTTCTCATACTTTTATTGCGTCCTTTAATGTTTTGGTACAGTAGTATAGTCGCAGATTGTTGCAATATTCTAGAGAACTCATATGCCCTGTTGGTATACATATATACCATATTGGTATCACATGGTACTAGAAATCTTTTTTGCTACTTATACTTTTGTTGCATTTTTCAATATTTTATTATCATTTTTATTCTAACTAGTATATATGGAGATTTGGTTGCCGTAGATTATATTTTCTTGCTCTATAACTGATTGTGTTACTGCTAATGGTAGAGTGTGTACTGATATTTATAGGGAAGGAGATCAAGGTTGGCATGGCAATCACGTGTTGATTCTTAGAATTTGATTATGTAATTTATGGTGCTTAGCAACAGTCAATGTGATATTCAGTGAATTAGATCAAGTGACAACTGATATTATTTCAGTTTAATAATTGAATTTAAAAAATAAGAAAGAAAAAAAAAGATATTGTACTAGTTATATTAAAAAAAGGTTAACAAATATTTACTATATCAATTATTATTTTTATTGTATAAAAAAATAGTGAAAACGGTAAAGGAAATTAGATTATGAAGAGAAAAAGGATATAAAAAAAAGAAGTTAAATGAAATTAGAAAAGGAAAAAAGAAAAAAAAAAGAAGAAAATGAGAAAAAGGAAAAAAGGAAAAAAAGAAGCATAGAAATAAAAAAGAATTGAATAATAAAAAAACTTCCCCACAAAAATTACTATGGATAGAAAATGTAATTAGTTTATGGGTAAAAAAATAAATGGGCAGACAAAAATAAATAGTTTTGTTTTTGTGGATAACTTTGTCATTCTCTCTTTTTTTGCGCAATATAAGGCTCGTTAAAGCCAATCTTAAAAGACTACTTTACATTCTAACCTAAATGCATTAATGATGATTAGATAATCATAATCAAATTAGGCACTCATATAATCATCATGAAAAGATTATAACATCATAAATTAAGAAACATAATGAAATAAATCGATAGACTACACAACATTAACCAATAACAACAACAACAATATCAAATCCAGTGTATTACTATTAGTGGGGTCCGGGAGAGTAATGTACACGCAAACCTTAACCCTACCTGGTGAAGGTAAAGAGCATGTTTTTGACGGACCCTCGACTCAAGAAAGGACAAAGAGGAAAAAAGGAACAACATTAATAAAAACCACATAATTTAGAATCCATAGTCGTAGCGGCCAAGCTACTTTCAAGTCTAAAAGAGAAGAAAACTTTATACATGAAGTTTAAGAAGAGAGATAGAACCATTTTAAAATATACTACAAATTATTATAACTTGAAAGAGTTTAGGAGCAGAGACTTTAGACCTACTCATTCATCTTCTTAGGAGGTTTGGGTCATAACAGCTGAAACCATTGTGTTCATTCCACACATGCCATGTCCTCTACAAAGCTTGTAGTAGCCGTGTTCGCCCCATCGCTTTCCCCACGAGTTCTTTATGATCCAATATGGCTGGTTGCTCAACCTCAGAATCGAGAACCCCTTCGAGCCATAACCAACTAGTAAAACGCCATGGTTAATCCACCTCTTTCCACATATTAGCGGGCACGATACACCTCCGATGTACGTTTGCATAAACACCGCGTTCAACCCGACTACACAAACAAATTTTCAAGTACCCTTTAGTCTAGTGGAGATCTTCGTGCACGTGTCATATCAAGAAATGGTTGCGATGAGGGGTGCTTACCTGCGAGTGGTCCATGATTGACTAAATAAGCAGCGATTTGTTGCTCATCGATGGGAATATTGGTGAAATTTGAAACTTTTACGACGACTTTGTCTGGATTAAACTTGCAATCGCCACGTTTACCAGTATATGGATATGAATCTTCCTCTTCTATTCCTCCTGCCTCAACTAAGTACTTGTAAGCATTCGTCATTAGGCCTCCCGAGCATCCGGAATCACAAGCTTTTTTGTCCTTTATGTCGCACTTTAGACAAGAAAAAGAAAGGTCATAATTCACAAATGTATACGGTACCAAGTACAAAACAAAGTCACAAAGCAGGGTATTTGATATACAAATCTGAGAAAAGCTAACCGTGTGATCACAATCTACAAGCTGTTGTTCACTAAGATTAAGAAGCTTGCCGGTAGCAATGAAGTTGGCTCCTTCAATGGATCCAGTAGTGCTAAACGCCCAGCACGACCCGCAAGTCCCCTGCATTCATGAATCAATGAATATCACTATAATTAACCAGAATAACTTCTGTTTTGACCCCTCTCTAGGATATAGGAATTTCTACAATATGATTCAAATATATTACAAATATACAAGTAGAACAAGAAGCATGCATGTTGCTCATAGCTAGGATTTTCAATTTTGTTTGCTAGAGGAACTAGAACATTATTAGTCACAACAAAAGATTTAATTCATCTGTAATCATGCGATAAATATCGCTCATCCAAAGTAGTCTTTATGAGCTTTTAAAAGTAGTACATCCGTAATAGAGAGTATCTCATGAAAGCTGATTCAAGTCTGGGAATAGAGTCGCCTCCAAGGTGGGACTTCCTGGCACGAATTACTCGGGCCGGGCCGAACACCGAGTAGAAAACTAAAAAACATACATCATCTTGATATTCTGAAATGTAAAAAACACCATAACACCTACTAATGTTTTCATTTAGCTTCTAATTGTTTGAGTTTGTTATAAAAGTACGAATCTTAATGCATCAGCTGATCAGCTCACTTAACACTTAACAAATTATACTAATCAACTCTCTAAAGGCTAAATAAGAAAGTACATTCATGAAAGATTTAAATCGTTTGCAAAAACTTACTAATTTTACGCAAAATTGGCATATGCTTTTGTTTTGAGGTTTGCAAATTGGAGTTACTTAATTATACAGAGTGACAATTTTTATACTATCAATGTATTTTAATGTATGTATCAATGTATCAATAATGTAGCAAGAATCTGCTTTATTTTCATTTTCGGATTATTAATCTCACTTCTATGGACGGTAGCTATAGCTATGAGATAAATAGTATCAAAAAATTTACATATACTGTCAATGTATAAATCCCTCTGTCCCAATTTGTGTGGTTTCGATGGTTAAGCTTTTTAATTTTGGCCAGACTAAAGTATTCTCTAAGTTTTTTAAACAAATTCAAATATTTGGAAACTATGTAATAATTAGTAAGTCACAAAAATTAAACCAAAGCAAGCTTTTTCCATACTGATAGCGTACAACTCACCTGCATCTTGACCTCAGTTACAGCACCTTTCTCTCTCCAATCAAAACTCTCCGGCAATCCCTTCACTTCCAGCGGCGGAGCGTGTCCCTGCCCCAACAAGGAAGTCGCCCGGTCAACAACTTTAACGCCCATATACATCCTCTCAAATTCCTCTTCCGTTAGGTCAGAGAACTGAGTAACTCCATGAACAGCCGTAGGATCCAAAGCTTGATGTTCAGCTGCCTTTAAGAGATTCCTAGCAAAAACCCCGAGACGGTGTATGTACTCCTCGCGTGTAGTATACTCTTTGCTGTATTCTTGTATGAATGACTTGAACTTGTGCTCGGTGGCGGTGCCGAGGAGGTTGTGCTGGTGGTTAACGGCGGAAGCTGTGGTTGTTGGGTAGTTTTGGTCGTCGGTGATCACTTGCCGGATTTTGAAATCTTCTGGAATTATTGCTGCTGCATGTTGGAATGAAAGGAGAAAAAATGGGCATGTTAGAATTGTAACGCTCAAAGCGTATGTTAGACTGAGACCCCCTCCTTTTTCCATTTTTTGGTTCTTTTTAAGTTCTTGCTCTGCTCTTTTAGCTTTGTTTTTTCGGTTCCATGTTTTTGACGGAGGTTAGAAGAAGAAATAGGCAAATGGTTCATGTGACTGGCAGTGGAATTACGAATTTGGTCATTTGACTTCAACATTGAAATTCGGGATATAGTACTACCTACCACAAATATTTACATACTCAAAAGACTCGAACTTGAGACCTCGTAGTCCTGCACCACACTCTTTAGTGGTATTTTTAACACTTTCGCTTTAAATAAAGTAAGAAAGATGTTTAAATTCGTATTTCTTTCATAAAAGGAGGGAAATAAGCAAATAGTAATTAAAAGTCTATCCAATTATTAAAACGAAAAAGGCCAAAAATAAAAATATACACAAATGCAAAGAGCATAGGTTGTACTTTTAAAAAAATTATATTCAAATATTAGGTTTTTTTATTTAATAATTCATATTCAAAGTTCAGCGAAGATCATTTTTTTTAACAAATTCTTACTTTATCTTTTGTTGTGCTTTTTCGTTTAAAAAATCATATTTTATTTCTAAAAAATAATCAAATTCGTAGGCTAAAATCTTAAATTTTTATATTAAAAATTGTTGTATATGTGTGTGTGATTTAACTTTAAAATTGACTACTTAAAGAAAATTAAAAAACGGAAAGTGAAAATTAATAGAGAGAGAGGAGTGTAAATTGAAAACAAATAAAGAAAGGAAAAAGAAAAGAATTTATTTATGGGGAAGAAACGGGTATGGAGATAGGGGCAATTTCGGGAATTTGGACCATCGAACACAGAGCTGCAGCTTCATTAATACTGCATGCAAATGGTTCACTTGGTTGTAAAGCACGTGTAGGGAGTTCGAAACGGCAACCTTCTATTTGTTCCCCACGTACACAAACTGCCCGACTTTGTCCAGTTACAAGTTTCTCTTGCAAATTGCCCCCCTCACCTTTTCCATTTACACATTACTACCCTAACAACTACTTATATTAGATTATTTTTTTTGAAATATTACTTATATTAGAATTGAGTACACATCTATTACGTGAAAAGCTCTAATTTGCACAATCAGTCTTATAGTATGATTGGTCAGCTTCTTATTTTGGAAATTATTTTCTTCAAAAAGTATTTTTTTTAAAAGTACTTTTAATGAAAAGTAATTTGTATTTACTAATTAGTTTTAAGAAATATTTTTGAACATCAATTAATATTTGGTCAAACTTTAAAAAAGTACTTTTAAGCGTATTTTTCTCAAAAAAATTTTAAAAAAGTACTTTTAGGAAAAATCACCTTTTTTGGCTTCTTAAACTGCTTTTTGCTTCTGCTTAAAAAAATTCTCCTTTTAATAGCCTGTTTGGCAAATCTTCTTCAAGTTCAAAAATATTTTTTTCCAAACACACTTTTTTTTCAAAGTTGAAGTACTTGGCAAAGCTTTTAGAGGGTCGTTTTTAAGTCGAAACAGTTTCGGAGAAGCAAAAAAAAAATATTTTTTTTCCAAAAGCACTTTTGAGAAAAATACACTTAGAAGTACTTTTTAAAAGTTTGGCCAAACACTAATTGCTGCTCAAAAGTGTTTTTCAAATTAATTAGCCAAACACAAATTGCTTCCACCAAAAGTACTTTTGAGAAAAATGCTTTTGAAAAAGGAATTTTTACATACCTATACACTATGGAAACTTTATTACCCCGTACTCATGTTTCAATTTAATTACCTTCTATACACAAATTTACCAATTATATATCCCTTTATATTATGAATCAATTATTTTCCATCCTTATTCTTTTTCTCTCTCATGCGCTCTCTCTCTCTCCCTACGTCTCTCTCTATCTCTCAATCCCTAATTCCAGTAATGTAAAATAAAGGAAAAGAGAGCAGTAATTCCATCATTAACAGTCATTAAAAAACTTTGAAGCTTTGAATTCGAATTTGGGTTTTCAAAAACCATTATTTGTTTGGAATTAACAGCCATTAAAAGCTTTGAAGCTTTGAATTCGAATTTGGGTTTTCAAAAACCATTATTTGTTTGGAATTAACAGCCATTAAAAGCTTTGAAGCTTTGAATTTGAATTTGGGTTTTCAAAAACCATTATTTGTTTGGATTGAGTGTTGTTGCAAACAATCGGGAATATGATTTGGAGTTTATATCTCAATTTCGAGAGTATTTGGGTGAAGATTAGACTTGATTTTGGCTGAATTTGAGATTGAAACTCGAAGAAGAAGAAGACATGGCATACATTATACTTACGAAATTGTAGCAAAATTATAGAAAAATCGTATTTTGTTTTTTATATTTTTTATTTATTTAAATGTTGTATGGAAGTTGAACAGTATTTGTATAAAAATTGTATTTACGTGGTATGATATTGTAGTTGTATATAATTGGGTAGAAATAATGTATGAAAGTGTATATAAGTTGTATAATATATAATTATTTGTATGAAATTTATTTTTTGTATAAATCAGATATATAATATACAAAAGACATATTGTATAAAATTTGTATAAAAATTATATTTACGTGGTATGATATTGTAGTTGTATATAATTGGGTAGAAATAATGTATGAAAGTGTATATAAGTTGTATAATATATAATTATTTGTATGAAATTTATTTTTTGTATAAATCAGATATATAATATACAAAAGACATATTGTATAAAATTTGTATAAAAATTATATTTACGTGGTATGATATTGTAGTTGTATATAACTAGGTAGAAATAATGTATGAAAGTTGTAAATAAGTCGTAGATAAGTTGTATAATATATAATTAGTTGTATGAAATTTATTTTTACTATGTATAAATCTGATACAAAAAATACAAAAGATATATTGTATAAAATTTTAATAAAAATTTTATTCAAGTTGTATGATATTGTAGTTGTATTTAATTGGGTAGAAATAATAATGTAAACAATATGTATATTTGTTACGACCCGACCAGTCGTCTCATGAGTTACCGCTATGTTTTCTTCATTTATGCTTCTTTATGCTTTGTTTATCCGTGTTATGTGGTATCGGGTTGGTCGGATTGAATTCGGAAAGGAATTGGTAAGGTTTGAGACACTTAGTCTCTTTTGAGGAAGGTTAAGTAAGAAAAGTCAACCGGATGTTGACTTATGTATTAGAGGGCTCGGATATGAGTTCTGATGGTTTGATTAGCTTCGGGAGGTGATTTGGGACTTAGGAGCGTGATCGAAATGAGTTTTGGAGGTCCGGAGTAGATTTGGGCTTGAATTGGCGAAAGTGGATTTTGGCTATTTCCGGTCGGTAAGCGAGATTTTGATATAGGGGTCGGAATGGAATTCCGAGAGTTGTAATAGTTCCGTTGTGTCATTTGGGATGTGTGTGCAAAATTTCAGGTCATTCGGACGTGGTTTGGTTGAGTTTTTGATTAAAAGCGAAATTCGGAAGATTTTGAAAACTTAGGCTTGAATCCGATGTGTTTTGGTTGATTTGATGTTGTTTGAGGTGTTTTGAAGATTTGTACAAGTTTGAATAAGGTTTTGGGATATGTTAGTGCCTTTGGTTGAGGTCCCGGGGCCTCGGGTGAGTTTCAGATGGTTCAATCGGACCATTTCATGCCTTGGAGAGTTGGAGATATGGGTGTTCATAAAAACCCGAAAACCCGAACCAAACCGACCAAAAAAAACGATACTTTTTGGTTTGGTTTAGTTTTGGTTTTGAATTTTAAAATCGATCAAATTTGGTTTGGTTTTGGTTTTAATCAGAAAAAAAACCGAAAAAACCCGAACCAAACCGACTATAAGATCAGCTATTTCAAATTTATTATTACACTTATATATATGTATACTTTTATACAAAGTTTCAGAAAATTTATAGTAAATGTTAATAGTTTGCACTTTTAGTATAGTTCTTTACCTTTACATTCTAGTTTGATTGGTAGTTTTCTTTTGTTAAGTGTAAGAATCCATTTCATGTTAAAAATAATATATTTTTAATTGAGTCCTTAAATTATTCATCACTATTTGATTAAATTATCATCAATATATCTTGGTAAATAATAGATTTCTCAAAGAGCAATAGATTTGATAGTGTTACGTTGAAAATGTGGTCGCCGGAATATGTGTTTGGTAGTGTATGTCTTATATTTAAGAAAACTCGACAAATAACCGAAAAAACTGAAAACCGACAAAACTCGACATAAACCGAATCGAGGAAAAACCGACTTAATTGGTTCGGTTTGGTTCTAATATTTGAAAATCCGACTTACTTGGTTTGGTTTCTTTTTAAGGAAAACCCGATCCAAACCGAATTATGAACACCCCTAGTTGCAGATTTTGGAGTTCAGCTGTTGCAGAGTTTTTACTCTTCGCGATCGCGTAGAGCTGTTGTAGGGGGCAGTCCAGTTTGCTTAGTGCGTTCGCGAAGCTGGGGATTTTAGATGCTCGAGCATCGCATTCGCATGGGATTTTACGCGTTCGCAGAGGATTAATTTTGAGAGCTGAGAATTTGTGCTTCGCGATCGCGAAGGATGTCCCGCGATCGCGATGAAGGAAAAGTTTAAATACTCGTCTTGTCTGCGATTTTGGGATTTATTTCTTCTATTGTTGGTCGTTTTTGGAGCTTTTTGAAGGGTATTGAAGAGGGATTCAAGGGGAATCACTTGGAGGTAAGATTCTTGGATTTAAACTCGATTCTAATGTGAATTTCACCTAAATAATCATGGAAATTAAGCCAAAAATTGAAGAACTAGGGCTTGAAAATTTAGACCTTTGATTGAGGATTTGAAAGACCATTTGAGGTCGGATTTCAGAACTTTTGATATGTATGAACTCGTGGAGAGATAAGGAATCTATTGATGTAAAAATTATAGAATTCCGAGATGTGGGCCAGGGGTGGAGTTTTGGTAATTTTGGAATTTGTGTCGTATTTTGATTATTTTCGCTTGGGCTTCGTTCCCTTAGCATATTTTAATGTCCTTATTCTGATTTTGGATAGATTCGAGGCGAGTAGAGACCGATTCGAGGGGCAAAGGCTCGCGAATTAGAGATTTGACCGGTTCGAGGTGAGTAATGATTGTAAATGATGTTCTGAGGGTA